GGATTTTTTTTTTTTTTAATCCATCGTAAAAAAAAAAACAGCCCCCCCAAACGACATTTTAGGCTCAGATGAAAAATATGAACTGGAAAAAAATTGGCCACGGGACTGAATGTCAATGTAGTATGACCTAAAATGTGAGAAACAAGAAGAGTTTTTGGGTTGTCGATTGAAAACGACAAGAAGGAATGATGGAACGGAGCCACACATGAACGCCAGCCAGCATTTGCTCTCGTCCTCCTGGTGTGTGAACCGTTGGTCGCTCAGGTGCTGCCTCGAAAAACGTCGTCCCTCCAACGGGCCTCCCCCAGAAACTTTTGAGGCAAACGGAATGCATATTTCACAACTTTGTTTTTGCACTTGAGTATTCAAAACAGCTGCAGCCTTAACGTGACATTGAAATACAGACACTTTGTACAGGAAATGGTCCCCCCTCTTTCACAAGTCAACCCATGCAGTTTTATACACATGTGACACTTGACAGTCCTCCCATCGAAGCTTTTTTTTTTTTTTTTTTAAAGACACAAAAGGAAAAGAAAGTTTTGCTTGTTACTGGAAATGTTTTTTTCCACAAACAGCTGAAAGATCTCAGCAAACCGGCACACACCTGCAGATACTTTCCAACCATGTAACAGCGATTCAGCTGATCGGCGCAATTTAGAAAAAACAAAAACATGCATGGTAGGTTAATGGAACACTGTAAATTGTCCCTAGGGGTGATTATGAGCGCAAATAGTTGTTTGTCTACATGTGTGTCCTGTGATTGGCTGCCAACCAGTTCAGGGTGTACCCCGCCTGCTGCTTGAAGACAGTTGGGATAGGCTCCAGCACGCCCGCGACCCTCGTCAGGGTAAGCGGACGATTTTTTTGGGGGGGGGGTGGCTTTTAACTTCCTGTTTTATAATATTTGGATACCGATGTTGTTTTGTAGCCATTTTAAGGTTAATTTGTGTTAAAGAAGCCGCTGGGCGTTTCTGTTCAGCCCCGCCTGCTCCGTCCCTCTTTTCTGTTTGTATGGCGTGGTTTCATGTTGTGTCCAAATGTACGTTGTTGTGTTCAAGAGGTCGACGAAGATTTTGTAGCAGTTTTCTCCACACGGATCCACTTTAAGGTCTTAAACCACTTTCCGAATTGCTTCTCATTTTATAAAATCAGTTGTTGCACGGAGAAGCTTTGCAACCCAGAAGTGTTACGCTGTGATGAGATGTCATGCAGAAATTGAAGGGAAAAAAAGGATGCATATATTTTTTTTTTTTTGGTCTCAAGGTTTCACTTTCAATTCCCCAGCCTTTTTTTTTCTTTTTTCTAAGTAAAACAGTTGAAGTGAATATTCGGTACTCGTACGTTTTTCATTTGTTTCTAATTCTCCTTGTTGTCTGGTTAGTTATTTTGTTTGTAAAGAGAAAACAAAGCAATTTTTATTTATTTTTTAATATTTTGTGGATGTTTTATGTATTTTATATTTGTTCAAACGTCAATTGTACTGTCAATAAAACAAGAGCCATCCACTTTTCGGTGTTAGGCTTGCCTTCTTTTGAATTGTGCAAATGCTGACTCTCACTGTGGGTCTTACTTTTTTCTTTTCAAGGGACTTGTACGTCAATCATTTGGGATGTTTTTGTAAGATTAAATACACAATTAAGATGAGGGGGAAAAAACAAATACAGTCAATGACTGTTATAAAAAAAAGATGAAAATATTTTTTCCGACATCATGCACCAGATGTGAGTGAGCATGAGAACCCGAAGAGGCAACCACATGACTTTTTTGAGATGCCAAATACTTTCGGAACGACAATTCAAATTTGAAACCGTTGTACCACAAGCTTGAAATTGTCTAATGACAACGATCACAGCAGTGTCATGCAAACATGCCCCCACCCACCCCCGTGGGTGCGCAGCAGCAATCATTTCGGATGTTACGATGTTTTGTAGAAGTGTGCCAGAACTACAGTACAGGCAGCTAAAAAAAAAAGACAAGTTACAATGAGATTCAGCCTCGAGACTAAGACTAATTGATTTGGGAAAACGGCAAAATCAATCCAAAGTATTATGACTAAACTTAGTTGACCCTAGCGGTGAGAAGCAGATGTCTTCTAAATAAAGAAAACATTCACTGCGAGTGGATCACATTTTATTACCACTGTTGAACGACCACATTTACTTTGACTTCATCCAAGGACATAAGACGTGGAAGCGTGGCGGCGGTCAGCCAGGGGGCCACTTCATGCCGCGGCCACCCAGGACGTGAACGTGGATGTGGTAGACCGACTGGCCGCCGTCGGGACCGTCGTTGATGACGATCCTGTAGCCTTTGGCCAGGCCCGCCTCCGCAGCGCATTTCTTGGCCACGATCAGCAAGTGGCCCAGGAGCTGCCAGGGGAGGAGGGGGACGGGGTCCACGTGGTCAAAACAACAACACAAGCATTCCACCTTGTCATACATGCGCTAAAGTTAATCCTTACTGCAGCATCGGCGTCCTCCGCTTTGGACAGCTGAATGATTGGCTTCTTGGGGACCACCAGGAGGTGAGTGGGCGCTTGGGGGGAGATATCGGGGAAGGCCACGCACTGTAACAGAAGAAATAGACACTAGGAATAAATATGGAGTGTTTACAAACCACTAACAAAACAAATCTAAACATGCCAAAATAATAGACCAAGGAAATACAATTAGAATTTTCCACCAAATGGGGGAGGGGGTGTACGATATGACAAAAACAGCATTATCTGAAAACGTTTAACAAATAAAAGTAAATGTTTAAAAATTATGGTAAAATAGAATTAGTATGATTTTTTTTTAAAACTACATATTGTCCAAAACAAACGTGGGGGGGGGGCTAAAATATGAACTGATAAAAATGTTTGGTAAAACAGTAAGCGCTTTGTTACAGCTGCAGCTGTTGTGAAAGCACTATATAAATCAGGATGTATTGTATTGTAGTTACAAATTAGACCCCGAACAAGTAAGATAAAATATGAACTTGGCTGACTTTGATCTTCATGTTTGTGAAAATGTTCAATATAGGCACACAGGGCGTGTGTGTTCTGCTTGGTAAGCCACATTTTAGCCAGAGATCTGACCCAATATTGGTAACGTGTGTTGCGGAACGGGTAGGCTCATTTATGACATGGGAACTTGATGATTTGGGTTGTGGAAGTGGAGGAAGACTTTTGTGTGCGTGTGTGTGTGTGTGTGTGTGTGTGTGTGCAGAAGCTGCAGGAAGTTAGCATTAGCATTCTCTGAGCCTGTGCCTCGTTGCAGTATAAAAGTGCCTCGGGTGCGCCTTGGGCTCACTCAAAAAAGCCTACCTGATCGTCCTCGTAGATGAGTTTTGCAGGGATTTCCTTGCGTATGATTTTTCCAAATATCGTGTCTCCGCCAGATTGGGCCACCTGAGCTTTCGCTGTTTCATCAGCCATGTTGGCTCGGGCGCAAACTGACGCGCACTGACGTACGGATTGGGACGTGAGGGAGCCCGCTGACAGCGGTGAAACGTCACCGGAAGGTCTGCTCTGATTGGTCCGTAACACTCTGAAGGCGGAAGAGTCAAGATGGGCACTCGCGTGAAGGTGAGCGGCAAACATTAACACAGTTGAATAAAACGTGATTGTTTTCGACCATACTCAATACCAAAATGAAATGGTCATGTTTAATTCAGCTAACACGCATGCTTGATGTTTGTGCAGGTGTTACGCGTCTTCAAGTCGCTGCACAGAACGAGGATGGCTGTATTCAAAGATGACGAGAGAGCACTGGCAGGTCTTGCTGCTCCAAGTCTGTTTGGCTGGAGTTGTTCATGCTCCCCGGTTCACATTCCACCTTTCAGTTCCCAAGATCTCTATCAATCCAAATTATTATCTCGCTCTAGTTCAGACTTTTTCGAATCGCATCATCATCCGTGGGAGTTGAGCCTGTCAGTTTTGACAGAGGGAAGGCGTGGAAAGTACAGATACTGTACCTGTTTCCAAATGTAGGGAATGCAAGTTAAAGAGTCGTCAGAAAAAAAGTACAGTACAGATACCTGAAAAAATCGACTTAAGTACAGTAATTGAGGATTGTTGTACAGATACCTGAAAAAAATCGACTTAAGTACAGTAATTGAGGATTGTTTCATAGTTTGTTTACTGACCACAGATGTTTGACATCATGCTTTGAATAATGCGGAGCCAATGTAAATAAAGCTCTGCGTATCCAATTGCTAACTTTTGTTCTTTCGGACAGCTGCAAAATTAAAAATCAACGAGGAGTTCCGTAAAAACAAACATGAATCGTCACAAGAAAACATTGAGAAGGTGAAGTGCCTAAAGTCAAATTGCCACTCTGTTGGAGGAGTTTTGAGACCATTGAAAACTTGTTCTGGTGTTGCAGATGATCAAAATGGGCTCAGATGTGGAAACAGTCCTACGAGAAGGCGTACTTCAAATGGAGCATGTTGGCACAGAGAGACTCTGTGAGTCCCTGTTTTCACAAACAATTGTCACACGTCAAACATTAACAGAGTCTCTGCATTGCCGAAGATGTTCCTGATTATTTTTATTTGAATTTTTCCTCACAGTGCTTCGACCCAGGGAGGATCTTCTATTAGAAAACGTTCCCTATTGTGATCAGCCCAGGAAAAAATCATGACAGAGCATCTGATGGATGACCCAACAAGGAAAGAGACTCGTGTTGAGAGACTTCTGATCATCCATCCATCTGTCACATTTCATTTGGATTAAGATCTGCCAAACAAGGTTATGGCTACTACATGGAAAGTTGCAATTTCATTTGTCATGTGCAATTAAATGATATTCAATTGTTAGTTTTTCAATATTGATTCTTTTTCTCCGCCTTAGCATACAACTTGCAGAACAGTTGGCATAATCAAGCATCGGACTAAAACAGTGGATGAAGAAAAATTTCCAATATATACGTTGGGAAAAAATTTTTTTTTTTTTTAATGAGCAAAAGGCAAAACCCATTCATTTAAAAAACATTTTAAATATTAGCCTCCAAATCTAGAAACATAAACAAATATATATTACTGTAATAGTTTGAGCTAAAATATTATTTCTCATTCACCCTGTGTTCTTTTTGTAATATCTCTGCTAATATGTAAACATAAGCCCTGTATGACATAAGTAAGGGCTGATTTGTTGATGCAGGAAGTGACGTTTGTTTGTTTTCCTTGATAGACCTTATTACACATTTCATAGATCCTGGCGTAAATCACGCACTGATAAGTGTTTCCCAGCGAAAACCAAACAGTAGTGGAGGCAACGTAAGATGGCTGCCCTCTGGCTTCACCCACGAGGGACCTGTTGCTAGTCTCATATATGTCCGTGGTACCCACACGGAGCATACATTTGTACCGAATGACTCACTTTAGAACTACTTATTAATAACAATCTTTATTGAACAAGTCAGGATACAATTCCCAGTAAACAGAAAACAAAACGAACACGTTATTAATACAACACATGCACATATTACAAACATTTAAAGCAGCCAGGGGATTTTTAAACAAAAATTTCAAATAAGGAGCATATAGTCAAAGTCTTTACAGCTTTCTTATTTTTGGAATCCATAATACAGTAGGATGCAGTTCTTTATGACCCGTGGGAGGTTCGCACAGAACGCGTCATCAGTATGCGCACGTTGCTGTGACAACCCTTCTGCGGGGCGTCATGTTGCTGTTTAGCCGTGACATGTTAGCTTTCGACCGATGATGGCAAAAACATGGTATGGAATGGTAGTTTATTTACACGAGCTCGTTTTGTGGTTCTTACGATACAACAGATTGGACATAAAGTGACGCGACGTTTCTTTGTGTCACGCTTAGCAGCGCGGACAAGTTGTGGGACTTGGCCGCCGCCGAGGTCCAGAGTCGGGAGAGAAGCGCAGGAGAGGACGCCGGTGCTGGAGCAGAACCAGGCGGGGAGAGGACCGTCTTTCTCATGGGAAGCAAGGCTGGGGTATGTCTGGGGGAGGGGGGGTGGTCTTACTTTACATTTATTAGAACCTAGTTTGTTTTCTCTTCGGCTAAATGCGACATGTTTCTCTTTCGTCACGACAGGGCAAAACGTCTATTCTGCTCCGATGCCTGGACAGGCGAGTAAATCAATACACTTGTTTTGGACACATTTGATTCGAGATGCTGCTAAGGCTAAAGTGTTGTGTACACACACCAGGGATGAACCAGCAAAGCCCACTCTGGCTCTGGAGTACACATTCGGCAGGAGAGCCACAGGCCACAACACGGTGTGTACAAAAAAACCCAAAACCCAAATAATACATTACAAAACATCTTTATTCATAGAGCGCTTTCGCAACAGATTAAATACAGTGCTAATATGCCCGCCTCGTGGCTGTCAAATCTGAACGAGCTACTGTATCGCATGGAAACCTGACGTTCCATTTCTCCCCGTTATTCTACTGTGACTGTGTCCAATGACACTTCATGTGTCCAGCCCAAAGACATCGCCCACCTGTGGGAGCTGGGAGGCGGCACTTCCTTGTCAGATCTGGTGCAGATTCCCATCACTGCTGCCAGCATTAGGTAATTCAGGTGTACAACGGACAGCTAAAATCTACCTGCGTTGATTTGTTCATTCGTCTTTGCCCCGCAGGTCCCTGTCCGTGGTCTTGGTGTTGGATCTGTCTGCTCCAGCCGCCCTGTGGGCCACCATGGAGACCTTGCTACAGGTGGCGCAGGCCCGCGTGGAGCAAGCCGCTTCTCAGGCACGACTTGTCAACAAGAGCCGAGCGGGGTCCAAGCACTCGGCGTCCTTGGCCTTCGCCGCGCGCGTCCTGCCCAAAGACTTCCCTGTAAGTCCACACATCTTGCAATATGATGCATCACACCCATCACACACACCCATCATGATGATTGATGATTGAACAGGACCGAGAGCTGATTAGCCCCTTTCCAGTTCCTCTGCTCATCATCGGCAGCAAATATGACCTTTTTCAGGTAAAGTAGACACACACGCACGTACACATACACTCAAAATTGTATTCATAAAAATGTTATTAGGAAACAAGTCACATAAAAATTCTTTTAAAAAAGCATGTGCCTTTGCAGGAATTGGCGTCGGACAAGAGGAAAGTGGTTTGCAAGACGTTGCGTTTTGTTGCCCACTACCACGCCGCCTCGCTGATTGTAAGATGAACTGTCACATCCGCAACTTCACGTTCACACCGCTGTCGTGCTTCATTTCTTCTTCTTTGCTGCTTGTTATTGGTTGTCAGTTCAGCAGCATCAAGTCGGAGAGCCTCATGTCCAAGACCAAAAGCTTCTTCTCCCATCTGGCCTTCAACGTGGACACAGGGTGAACGCGGCACGCAGAACCATCTTGGCCCGATGCTAAGATAGCACCACACCACTCGACCGTCCAGTTAGGTTGGCGCAAAATAAGGAATTACAAGCCAAGTTGCAACTAAAATAAAGCCGCAAAAATGCAATTTGAACGTGGATTCATATTGTCCGCACATGCCTATGTATATACTATGTGTGTGTGTGTGTGTGTGTGTGTGTGTGTGTGTGTGTGTGTGTGTGTGTGTGTGTGTGTGTGTGTGTGTGTGTGTGTGTGTGTGTGTGTGTGTGTGTGTGTGTGTGTGTGTGTGTGTGTGTGTGTGTGTGTGTGTGTGTGTGTGTGTGTGTGTGTGTGTGTGTGTGTGTGTGTGTGTGTGTGTGTGTGTGTGTGTGTGTGTGTGTGTATATATATATATATGTGTGTGTGTGAATGATAAAGCAAAAAGATTACTTGAGAAAAATAAGGCTCGAGACAACAGTGAATTTGTTCAGCGCCGAAAACATTTTTGCTGAGGTGTCATCTCTGTAGTACTAAATGACAACAAATAAACAGTTGTCTAAAAATCTCAACTTTATTATTTTCTGATTGAGTTTCTTGTGCCGTTCGTTTGTAGGAGAACGCTGTCGTGTGACTCCAGCAAGCCCCTCCTCATTCCAGCAGGTTCCGACTCTCTCAGCCAAATCGGTGAGCCCGGCGCCCTCTGGCGGCCACGCACCTCAACATCGGCACCCCGGAGCGCTGTGCTCGCGACATTTGTACGGTTTGACCTGGAAAATGTGGTAGGCTCTCCTCCCGCGACGGACGTGGACATGACTTCCCTGCACGCCAAGAACCCCAAAGACCTCTGGAAGAAAGTCTTTGAGCGCGTCTTCCCTCCAGAGGTCAGCTTTCAATCTGCGTCATATCGCCGGCCATATTTTGATCCCGTTTCATTTTGACGCGTGCAGAACACCGGCGAGAAGAAAGAAGTCAAGGATCCGGCCAAGGACCCGCAGTACACCGAGCTGCAGATTGACGCCATGCGGGCGCAGAAAGACCAGGTCACGACACACATGGCGACAGTTTGCCTTATCGCATTGAAATGTCAAAAAAAAAAAAAAAAAGGAAAATCAATCCTTAAGTGAAGAAAGCACTCCTACAATTGCTGAAATGTACGAACAAATATGATCACGGTGAGGCTCGACCTTGTGGTTTCCACTCGGGAGTCACGTGACGCTGACCTTTTGACTTCCGCTCACCCGGTCGTGTCGTTGGATGAAGTCCGTGACCAAGACTGGCAATGAACAAACATGATCGCGGTGAGGCTTGACCTCGTGGTGACGCTGACCTTTTGACTTCCGCTCGCCCGGTTGTGTCGTTGGATGAAGTCCGTGACCAAGACTGGCAAAATTCAACCCGGCTTCAGTTGCGCAATAGTAGTAAAAGTAAAATCATCAACCTAAAATAAAAAATATCAACCCGAAATAAAAAATAAATCGTCCATCCGTCTGTTCTCTCCACCCCGAAATGAGAATTCATATGGAATAGAACTCTTGAAATGAACATCACTTGCACAGTCAAATAGAAAATTAACCAAATCTATTCCGAGTAGGATTCAGTCCAGCTAATATCACAATCACAAGCATAACATCATTTGTAAAATAAATTTAAAAAAAAAAGAGACATGCAACAGTTAGTCGATAAATCGGCATCTCATCGATCAAATTAACCGCCAACTCTTTTGGTTATCGATTCATCTTTGGGAGACCTTGTCCAACGTAAACTTATCCAAATTTCAGCCTTAACAGTAAACATTTGTTGTTCGGGCCTTCCCGTGTGACGTCATTTTGTTAGTCGGGACAATCCCCTCCGGTGGACTTTACGAGGTTTTAAAAACGTTTTCTGTCTGCAGGAGTTGGAGGACTACAAGAAGGAGGCAGCAAAGTCCTGGAAAGGCCTCCAGCTGGACACGTAGCCAGACGGACCGTATCACCGCATTTCCCCAAGAGAAAATGCGCTCGGCATATTTTGTGTTGTTACTGAGGAAAAAAAAAAAAGGAAAATGTTGCTACACGTTGCTATTGATCATGTTGTATCTTGAAAAGACGGACACGGGGCGCTTTGTCGGCTTTTGCTCCTCCCTCGATGGCAAAGCAGCGAGCATCTCCGTCTCGATTTCAATCCACGTAGCGATCCCACCCGTTGCCTTGTGTATGACCAATGGATTGGCTCTCGGCACTCGGTTGCAATGAGAAGCCACGTGGACACGCTTGGACAAATCAGAATGTCAACGGACCAGTGGTAAAAAGCCGCCTTTCCGGCGGACCGATCCCATCAGCCGCTCAATTGCGGTCGGCTGAAAAGAGCAAAACAATTTGCTTTGAGTGAACGGGGGAAACGGACGGACGGACGGATGGCTCCAACGAGGTTTGCAGCGGCTGCCGGCCCCGAAAGGAAGGAAGGAAGGAAGGAAGGCCGGCGTTTTCTTTCCCGGGTAAAGAGTTTGTATTTGCCTGCGACTGGTTGACGCGAAAGGCATCGCCGCCGAAGACGCGTTGTAGTTTAAACCACGAACTCTAGTTTAAAACCCTAAATGTCAACCCTAACCCTAGTATGAAAGCCTAGCCCTAGTTTAAACGCCGTACTTTGAAACACTAACCCGTTTCAAACCCAAATTTTAAAAGCTTAACTCCAGTTCAAAACCCGAATTTTAAATCCCCGAGTTCGAAACCCTACTCTCAAACTCTTCTAAGGCTAATTTAAAACCCTACTTTGAAAGCCTAACTCTAGTTTAAAACCCCAAATTGAAACCCTATCCCAATTGAAAAATGGCCTGGTGACCGACGAAATGTGCACGGAGCGCTTCTCGCGGACTTCTTGGTACAACGTGGCCAGAAAACAACGTGGCGACATGACTACGGAGAAGCCAATGGATTTAATTGTCGAGTGGCAACATCCACACATGAGGCGCTCTGTTGTTTTGGGCTCAATCCAGTGATGACAAGCGGACAGGCGGGGGCATCGTACATGGACGCACAGACACCAAAGAAGTCCACGGAGCTCATGTTGCTTTGAGCGCATCCGGCCACCGACCGAGATGGCGCGTGGAAAAAGAGCGCAACTCTTTTTGCGGGCGTCAGTGGAGCACCAGTCTGTCTCGGATCCTGAAGCTGACGATGCCCAGCAGCAGGAGGGCGGGCAGGAAGGAGTACAGCAGCACGAAGTCCAGCGTGTAGCGCGACGCGGCGCCCGGGTAGCCTCGGTCCACGATTTGGTCTCCCTCCGTGATCAGGCAGCGTCCCGCCAGAGGACCCGACTGGTCTGCGGACAACCGGGCGGTGCCGCTTGACGCGCACGCGAGCAAAACTCCCACAACGCCCCAAATGTCAAAACGGTTGCTTACTGCACGTGAAGCGAAGCCCGTGGAACTCGGTGACGATGAGCAGCTCGCAGCTGTACTTCTGGAACGTCAGGTAGCTCAGCCACTGGAACACCGTCGGCATCTGCGCCGTGCTTCTGTTCACACAGAAAAAAAACGGTTCTTGCGGGAGGCCCTTGCGGGAGGCCCTTGCGGTCCCCGCCAGCAGACAGGAGTCCCCACGTGCCATCAAAATGCGCCCCCTGGTGACGGAAAATAGCACGGGCCCCAACAGACCCATGACTGGGAAACGTGCAAGATGCCGCGTACGCCAACGACAACATTAGGGGAAAAACCTGTCACCAAACTAAAAAAACCAAAACACAGCCCACATGCACACCCGCCGCCCACAACCTCGAGCCTTAAAAACCCGAAGCAAAGGGATCAACCGTAGGAATCCGGAGCCCAGGAGGATCCCGGCGATGTTGAGCAGGGCCACTCCGGTGTTGACCATGTTGGGGTCCTGGACCACCCCAAGCAGGACCACCGTCAGCAGCTCGCCTGCAAGACGCACAACGAGGTGACGAGGCGCTCGGGGCGAGGGGCGAGCGGCCGCGCGCCCACCTGTGATGTGAGGGACCATCACGGCCGCGGTGAAGCAGGCGAAGCGCCACGTCTCAGCGTGCATCCCCACCGTCCTGAAAGGGAAAAAGGGATTGGCTCAACAACAAAACATGTCATGACCTCGCGTCCGTCTGCGCGTCGGGAGCGTGTGGAGCGAGCGGCGCGGCGGCGTACCAGTAGAGGAAGGAGGCGAAGAGCAGCACGCTGACGGCGCTGAAGGGCAGGATGTGGAAGACGTAGGCCAGGAACATCTGCCACTTGCCGTACAAGCCATCTTGGCTCTCCTGGTCGCCGATGGCTCGCAAGGCGGGAACTGCGGCGCCGCGGCAGATCCGCAAGAAAGCGCCCGTCTCAATACGGCGCGGCGACGACATTCGCGCCCTCGTCGTTACCGAGCACCGCCAACGCGCGACCGCAAACGTGGCGTGCGAAATGATTCGGCGATACTCACACAACGCTGTGTTGTTTCGATACAGGGCGGCCATTTTGATTTCTGACTATTTCTCACTTGGTCGTAGCCCCACGAAACGTACGACTATATATTGGCGTTTGGGGGTTTTTTTTGTTCATGATAAATACAGAGCAGTGAGTCAAGTTGAAACGAGCGTCTATAAATACGTTAAAGGTCATTGTCATCTGCCTTCCTTTTCGTGCCACTTGTCTATCCAGCGGCAGTAACGATCGACAAGCAACCAAGAACACGGTCGCGCGATCGGACGCCGGCGCGACTCACATAGGGCCACGGCGTTGAGCATTCCGGTGTAGGGCGAGGCGCCGACGCATTGGTAGATGATGCCGATGCGGTCCTGCACGGCGCCTTTTGCCACGTCGGCGTCCAAACGCATCACGAAGAAGGCCACGAAGAGGCCGTAGATCAAGTTCTGAGACACACGCATCAAGACCCCCATTCGGTCTCTCGACAGGTTGCGCATGGTCCGCCTGGGGAGAATCAAAATCAAATTCAACAAATCATCATCATAACATCGGGCACTTTCAAGTATTGAGGCTCCCTCACAGTCAATCTTTTCCCCATTATTCTAGAATGGACATTTTTTCTTGGTCACATTGAAATTGTGTTGAAAATTGCATGAGAATGTTTCGCTGACATGTTCAAAAGGCAAAGCAGTCTGAGTGTGTATGTGTGTGTGCATGTGTGTGTGTGAGACCTAAGGAGCACGTCCAGCTTGGCAGCGCCCGCGGGCGACTCTTTGCTCTTGAAGGGGACGGCGGCCTTGCGGCGGGCGCGCAGGCTCTGCTGCGTCCTGGCCAGCATGCGCTCGAAGATGGCCGACTTCCGGTAGGAGCGGGTGACGTCGTGCATGCGGCCGAAGGTGGCCGCCTCGCGCTCGCCGCTGCGCGTGTCCACCGACGTCAAGTCCACTGTTGCGCGAGGGACGGCGCGTGAGCGAGCGTGCGCTTGTCTCGCCCGTGCGAGCGAGTGCGCGCACACGGGACCAGTACCGTAGATGTCGAAGGGGTTGCAGTATTCCGGACACTCGTACCCGCATTGGCCAAAGAAGTCCACCATCTCGTCGGGTCGGCCGCAGAAAACTAACTCACCGCGGCTCATCAAGGCGATGCTGCTGAACACCTGCAAACACACACACACACACACACACACAATAAAACAACCAAGAAAATGACCTTCTCCAAGGTCATTTTCTTCATTTTCAAACAAGATGAAATCATAGTTCCATACTTGGAATGTATTTTTGTTTTGTTTTTGAAAAGTAGCGTCCCATAGTGTAATGCGATCACCACCACGCCCGGCCGGGTATATTCATCGATGGGGCGGGGATACAGCGAGCGATCCGGATATGGACGGGCCGTTCGGGAAATTCCCGCCAGTCCCCATGTATTCTACTCTGTACGTGTTTTGTTTTGATTCCTATTCTTTTGTCTGTGAGCCATGAAAGTCGAGCAGCAATTCCAGAATTCTACTCATACGAGCGGGGGCGCGGCGTCCGTTGTCTCGGTGTGTTTCTTTTACCGTGAAGAGTTCGGAGCGAGGCTGGTGGATGGTGACGATGACGATGCGGTTCCTGCGGGCCAGCTGGGCCAGCAGCATCACGATCTGATTGGCCGTCATGCTGTCCAGGCCCGTGGTGGGCTCGTCCAGCAGGATGACCCCTGCCCGTGACGATGACACGACGCGCCGGCTTGAAACTTGAAAAGTTGCCTGCCCGGGTGCAGATAAGCGCCCACTTATGTGGGACTTCGTTAGTCTAATGAAGACAATTAAAAGATTGGCTCTCAAGCTGCAAATTAAACGGAGATTAATTCATTTTCTGCTTGATTGCAGAGGAAGCCAACGGGAACCCCTCACGGGCGTGCGTGCGCTCACTCTCATCCTGAACGATGAGGACGAGGGCCTTCGTTCTCAGCGGAGTTGCGCAGACCCGATAAAGCGAATCCGGAGCGCTTTTGCCCTCGTGCTCATCGTGCTTCGATGACAGCAAATGTTACTTTCTCCTTCATCTTTCTTGTCGGCGTTCGCGGTGAGGTGGTGCGGACTTACGGGGGTCCTGAAGGAGCTGGCTCGCGATGGAGACCCTCCTCCTCTCGCCTGCGGAGATTCCCGGGAACACGCGGCCGCCGATCACGCTGCGGGCCACGTGACTCAGGCTCAGCTCGGCCATCGCTGCCGACACCTCGAATCGAATTACAGCTTATATTGATCGAGCGCCTTTTGGGTGGCTTCAGAATGAAATCGAGGATCATTCTGTTTCATAGTCTGTCGAAGGTCGCGATGTCATCGTTATTTTCATAACTGGAAATAACTCATACATGATGAAGTTGGGCAATGTAAATATGACACATTGTGTTCTCTGCTTTTCTTCTGTTGTACAAAATAGTCCTTTTTGTGGAGCGTCATATTTTATGATGGGTGTGGTTTCCTTCACAATTCCCGCTCCTTTGAAACGTTCCGTTTAGAAAGATACAGGAGATTGTCTTTTTTCGCAATGAAGCACTTAGCGTTGGTGAGTTGATGAGCATTTCTCCTACCAAGCACATCGTGTCCCTCTTTGGAAAACGCGCCCTTGTTTGCTCCCACCTTGTTTTGGATGCCTTTGGCCGAGTGCTTTCTGAGCGCCAGCTGCGCCGTGTAGGTCAAAGTCTCCTCCACGGTCAGAAAACTCAGCAGGTTGTCGCTCTGGTATAAGAAACCAAACCAAGAGAGTGTTTTTTGTGTGTTCTTGTTCTCTGTGGACATACGGTCAATAAAAGGGTGACTCTCCTGTGGTGATCAATGTCACTGTAGGTGCCAGGGGGGAAACCGCCGATGCACGGTGAAGATGTTTACGTCACGACGACGACACGTGGATGCGTGAAAACCGTCGAGACAAGCTGACAACTACGTTGACTCATGGTGAAGACATACGGCGAAGACTGTTGACCAGGTTATGACGCATGCGGAAACCGAGGCCTGGAATGGGTCGTCGGCTCATTCCAGGAGCTCGGTTCAAAAAGTGCTCGAGGCGTTTGTTTTAGGCCTCGAGTAGCCACAGGTTGACACGTACGAGTCAAGCTAACCGCAGCTACAATTGTTCGCGCTCTGGACAACGTGGAAATTAGGCCAACTTCAAAGTAAAACTTAGCTTAGCTCACGTGTGGACATCAAATGCCGTGGCTCGCTTTTATTTTGAAGTTGTTCTCGGCAGCGTGTCGCGACATCACGGCTGACTGAGTCAGTCGCTAATTAAGCCCGCAAAAAAAAAAAAAAAAAAAAAAAAAAAAAAGAAACAAAAAAGACGAAGCGAGACGTTGAGTTCGATGGCGTTTAGCGCGAGCGATGCTAGCATCGCTCAAGTGAGTGGCGCGAAATGACTCCGCACACGTTGATGCTGACACCTTGACACGTTTGCCCTTCCCACCGATCGCTTTATCATAAACCAGGCTGACTCAGGTGTTGTTTTCGCCAGCCAAAACCGAGAGAGGAAAATAGCGTGCTGATATGCACAGTTTAATATACACAAATTCATCCAAATTTGAGATTATGCAATCGAATATCCGAATACCAAAATAATCGCCGGCTGCAGCCCTTGTGAAAAGTGCAAATTGCTTCATTGCCGGGTACGTCCTGGTGAAAATTGTGTGCAGCTGCAAGGTAAATATCAACGTTGCAACATGGGGAGGACTGGAGTGATGCACGTGCAGAAACTCGACGACGCCGATGCGCACTTGACAATTACACACACGCGCGGGCCTGCCTCAATTAACACGCGGTCCAATCGCATTCCTCGGCAGAGTCTCTCATGTGAATGACTTTGATATCAGGTGCTCATATCGACTCCTCATCTGCGGCTTAGCAGCCAAAGTTAATGACAAGCTTTAAAGTGGACGGACAAACGTGAGCGCGAGCGTTATCAGCCAGCCGGGAGATAATTTAAAAGGGGCTGTTTTAAGCCAGTGTTTTTAATTCGGGTCTTGGATACACTCGAGCACCTCTGGCTGATGGATTCGGAGCATGAGGAGGCTATGGAGGAGCAAAAAAAAAAAAAAAGTTCACCCACGTACTGACCAACTTTCTTCCTGGAGTTTGCGAAGCCAAATAGTAACAGTCTGTCACGTTGCGTGTGTCACCTGCAGCACGTATGAGAAGCAGTCCTGGAACTCTTCTCTCGCCAGTTTGGTGCCGTTGACGAAGACTTCGCCCGACAGGCTTCCGGAGTTGCCGATCCTTCCCGAGATGGCGTCCAACAACGTGGTCTTTCCGGAACCTGTGCGACACGCAAACGCACGAGCCAAATTATGACACGATGTGGCTTCTGGGGCAAGTGCGAATTGATTTTTTCCCCCATCGAGCTTTTAGGAGTCAGCGAATTCTGACCAGCAACAAATTGCGCCGGGGCCCGAGCTGGCAGCCCACCTGAGTTTCCCAGGATGCCCATAATCTGCCCGCTGTCCACGTGGAAGGAGACATCGTTGAGGATCTGCCGAGTCCGTCGCTTCGTGTAGGAGGGCAAGTCCCACCAGGGGCCAACGCGCTCGCTGCAAGGAAACAAAAGTGCTCCTCACACCTCAAATCCCCCGCCGAGGCCGAACAACAAAATGGTTGCCACTTAAAGGTCAGAGAAGTGGAGTTAAGACTCAAGACCTCAGATAGGGACTTGTTTTTTGTTTTTTTGAGCCTGATGCCAACTCCAATTTGGCACAAAAAAATATTCTGATGTCCGATTAATGTAAAAAATACGGAATGAGTAAAAAAAATAAAATAAATGGATACATTTAGCTCCAGACCATGAATGTATGCAGTACATAAATCACATAAGGGAACGTATTTTGGTTCCGAGTACCAACCGTGGCTGTGTGGCATTTTCTTTCTTTTGGTGTTTTCCTAAACAGGCGCTTACGTGCGCCGTTGTGGGCGTGAACACGGCCGACCAGCTTCCCGGCCAAGGGAGACGGCTCCTCTCGCTCCCAGAAACTGCGCGAAAACCAAGATCCGCACAAGCGCGCGCGCGCCGTCGACAAAACTAGAACGCGTATGGTCAAATGACTGAGGAAACACGATTTTTTTGCACGATGCCCCTCTTCTGCACCATTGCTTTCTTTGCCACGAAGGGATGACTTCAAAATGTAAAACAGAGAGGACTTTCTCACGTCAAAACATCCTTGTTGACTGGTGACAGAGTTGCAGTGGAAACCAATGACGCGCAGGACAGAGACAGCGTCGGCTGAAGCCGGGAGCCAATTTTAAGACGAAAAATGCACACCGAGGATACATCTCAAACTTATCAGATGCATACCCACACATATGACGTCTTCGCGGGCCCGTGAGAGGTCTGAAAAGGATGTGAGTGATTTACAGCCAAAAACGTTCCGTCAGGTAAGCGTGCGTGTCTTTTATTTGCCGCCCACATATGATCCGGACAAGATTTCCGGTTTCATGAGAGCGTAAGCTCGTATTGGCGTTTCAAGACTCCTGCCAATTATTATCACTTAGCAAAGGCCTAATATCGGCAAATCTAAGTGGCCGCTGAGCCCGAGTTGGACAAGCAAAAAAAGGTGGAAACCTCTCCCCGCGGCAGGTTTGAGACAACCGGGGCCGGCCTTCCAACCGGACCGCGGTTCCGCCTGCGCTCACCTGACCGCGTAGGTGATTTTGCTGGCACTGAGGCAGCACGCGGGCCCGGCCGCCTCGTCCACGCCGTCCCTCCCGGCCTCTGGCGCAAAGCGGAAGGACTCTGCGGCCCCGCCGGGACGCTCCTGCGGCGCCGAGTGCCGTCCGCTCATCTTCGACCCGCGTCCGCCCGTGCTGCAGCTCCCCCGCGCACTAACAGCACAGAGCCATAAACACGCTACGGGCTTATCGCGGGGAACTTTGCTCCGGGCTCGTATAAAACGGACGGGCAGGAGCGAGCGGCGCGTCCCGGAAGCCGCTGAGGTGACGGGACATCGCTTTGGAGAAGTTTCCCGCAGGGCAGAGGGCCAAATCCGGAGGAAGGACATCGGCAAGAAGGGGGGCGCGCAGGGGGCGCCCCGACCGTCGGACCGGACAAACATCAAGTTGCGTCATCATGGACCCAAACAGTAGCCTGACTCGGGCCAACGGACCCCCGCAGGTCAGTCGCCGACATCCTCCTTTCATGTTTGTTTTGTGGCCATTTCAGGTCAGTTAACCGCTGCGCGGAGTTGACTCAGTCAGGGTAGTTTGGGTTCGCGAACTCCAATGTAGTTTGGGAGCAGACGAGGAGTCAGCTCGGACGAGCTGACGTTTTCATTTCAAATGAATGCCTCCGCCAAGCCAATCGCACTTGGAGGACAGAAAACGGTTGCTCGAAAAAAAAATCGGATTTGATGTTTGTAAATCACTCGTGATCTTTTTTCATGAAATCCTTTTCCTCGTTTCTTGGCAAAGGCTGCACAAATGTTCAAATGAAAATGTGGATTTCTACGGCATGGATGGAGTCCGTCTGAAAAAGGCGAATAAATACATTCGCTCCTCAACGCGCGCTGCCTCTTAGCATGTTCCACGACGTCGCGACGAGCGTCTTGGGCCACAGCACGAGGCGCCACCTGTCGTAACATTTTGGAAGCGTGCGTTGTCGCGTGTATCGCCGGAAGAATTTGGAAATGGAATATTGAGCTCGTAACAAGAAAAGAATCCAAGTCAGGACGACATTCGGAGATGTTTTGCTGCGGCCGTCCGATCCCAATCGGAGCGCAGGAAAGTCCCGACGTCGCCGAGGACCAAATGTCAAAGCGTACGCTCGGATTGCTTCGCAGCCGCACGCGGACACCGGGCCGTTCTCGTCGGAGGAGGACAGCGGCCTCTACTTCACGTACGGCGGTGACCGCAACCAGCTGGAAGTCAACAACCTGCACTACGAGGTGACCGCTTCAACGTGGCCTCGCCGCACGAGCGCACGCGTGCGGCCTCCGCCCGGGCCTCCGAGCCAGTGAGTGTGCGTTGATCCCAGGTGGACGCGGCGGCGCAGATTCCCTGGTACGAGAGGCTGTCCGAGTTCAAGCTGCCCTGGGAGGTGAAAGGCCACAAGCGGACGGCCATCGACAAACTCAGCCTGCGCGTCCGCAGCGGGCAGATGCTGGCCGTCATTGGGAGCTCGGGTAAAACTCAAAATAGACACGAAACTGGGGCGACAAACTTCCAAAAACATTCGAAACTTTTACAAGTTCCCAACAGAGAAATCAATCAATAAATCAAAGTAGGTTTCTAAAATGACAAGAAGATGATGATGTTGATCGCAGGACCTGATATGGGGAGAAAAAGGCAATTTGTTGGGGGGTTTCCAGGCATTTCCACGGGGGCTGGCTTCACTTCTGTTGGGAGCGTATTCCATTCGTGCGCAGCAGAGCAGCTCAATGCCGCTTCACCATCTTTGCTTTGAACTCTGGGCTCCACCTACTGACGCGAGTCTGCAGAGCTCTCCCGCGTTTATCTGCATTTCTTTCATGGATTCGAGACCCAAACATACAGTGATTCATAGATCGGCATCCCAATTTCTCTTCTGCGGCTGACTGGGAGCCAACGTAAAGCCTCGAGGACCCCGCGGGGCAAAACGTTCCGATCACTTTGGTCCGCAGCGTTTGTACACGAGTACGACCATCGCCACTCCTCCTGACAGAAATCCTTGTGGTTGCGCCGGCGCAGGCTGCGGCAAAACCTCGCTGCTGGACATCATCACGTGTCGCGACGAGGGCGGCGGCGTGACATCCGGCCAGATTCTGATCAACGGTCGCCCCAACACGGCTCAGCTGGTAAAGAAGAGCATCGCGCACGTGCGCCAGGACGACCGCCTCCTTCCTCACCTCACCGTGCGCGAGACCCTCGCCTTTGTGGCCAAACTCAGGCTGCCCACGCACTTCACGCAGGCCCAGCGTGACCAGAGGGTAACGCAGAGTCGACCGACTGGCCCCTGTGTTTTTGCTTGTGTGAATGAAGCTGTGTAGTTTGTCTCGGAAACTCGATCCCGTTTGACATCCGGGACAGACCAGAAAGAAGGTTCGGTGTCAGAAACCGATTCCGGAACGGGTCAATCTGGTAGCCTTGACAACTTTCGACAATTGTCCATCCAAATCCGACTCGGTCGAGCAGTGTGTGCGGTCCGTAAAACAGGCTCCAGAGTTCTCAGTCCGGTACCCTTGACACCCGTGGACTATGGTCCATCTAAGTCAGACCAGGTAAGGTCGAGCGTGTAGCTTCTGAAACCGATTCCGGAGCTGTGAGTCTGATACCCCTGGCAAACTTGGGACAATGGTCCATTCAAGTCCGACTTAGTTGAGTAGTGAAGGTCCTAAAAGCGGCCTCAGAGTAGTTTGTCTGGTAGTCTTGAGAACTTGTGACAATCGTCCATCCCGGGAGTAGTTGGTGAGGTTCCAAAAATCTGCTCTGATAGCCTTGACTTCTGACAATGGTGGATCCAAGCCCAAATCTGACCGGGTCAGGTGGATGTCAAGGGATCTCAAAAGTTTCAGATGAAGTGCCCTCCACAAAAGGTCCATTCCGCTCTGACCAGGTTGTGGCCATGTTTCCTCTCAGGTGGACGATGTCATCGCTGAGCTGCGACTGAGACAGTGTGCTCACACCAGGGTGGGAAATGACTACGTAAGGGGGGTGTCCGGAGGGGAGCGGAGGCGGGTCAGCATTGCAGTCCAACTCCTCTGGAACCCGGGTAAGAACCTCCCCCCGTACCCCTCCTTCCTTCCCGGACCTGGCTCAGCTACTAGACCGATCCCCAAAGCAAGCATTTACGTTTCCAGGTATCTTGATTCTGGACGAGCCCACATCAGGTCTGGACAGCTTCACGGCCCACAATCTGGTCATCACGCTGTCCCGCCTGGCCAAGGGGAACCGTCTGGTTCTGCTGTCGGTCCACCAGCCTCGCTCAGACATCTTCCGGCTCTTTGACCTGGTGGTCTTACTGTCCTCGGGCTCGGCCGTGTACTGCGGTGCCGCCCGGGACATGGTACCGTACTTCACGGCGCTGGGCCACCCCTGCCCGCGCTACTGCAACCCGTCTGACTTCTACGGTAGGACCTTGAGGCTTCTCTGCCCCGTAACCGCATACAACATCACTGACAAGCTCCTTGCGTTCGCACGCCAGTGGACCTGATCAGCATAGACCGCCGTAGTCCGGAGCAAGAGGCCCAGTGTCTGGAGCGGGTCCGGGTGTTGGCGGAGCAATTTTCGGAAAAGGTCCGGGACACCGATGACCACATGTGGAACGGCGGGACGGGCGTGGCGCACTCTGAGAGGTTGCTTTGTACTTAGCGTGTTAGCATTTTATCAACCGCCATTAAAAAGAGCACCTGATGGCAGGGCAAGATGAAACATCCTTATCTTACAGCCGTAGCATGTTGTAACCTGCTTATCTTCTCATATGTCGGCATAGCAAATGTTCTCATTTTATATGACCTACGGACAGGACGAGAGTAAAGATCTTAAAACGAGTCAGGAGCCCAAAAGATCGGCCTTGGTGCTTTCCACATTGAAGTTACTATTTTTCGTCAACATTCTGCCCGCTGGCACCTGATCAACTCTCACGAGTATTCGAACACGACTAGAGGGCACCAAGTAAAATCCGGATGGATCTGCCTTTGCACCCTTGACCCAGGTTGCTATCTTGCTCGACAGTTATGTGTCAGCATTTCTTTAAAAACAGTAACCTGACCGAAAAACCCAGATTCATCTGATTTTCGTATGCAGGTCTTTGTATATCGGCATGCTAAACGGTTAGCATGTTAGTATTTGCTGAAAGCCACATATCGATCTGCCTTAATGATTTTGGTGCTATCTTGCGCCCGGTTAGCATCCCAAACGCTAAGATCGCAAATGTTAGCGCTCGATCAACAACCATAAGAAATAGTGGCCGACGACAGGGTGAGACGTCAAATCCTTGAGAGTCCGGGCCAGCGCTCGACTCCGTACCGTTATCTCGCAATGAGGTTGCTGTCTGGCCGCACGTTAGCGTGGCGGCGGCTGACACGCCGGCATCTCATCGACAACCGATAAGAGACGGCGTTTGCGGCAGCTCCCCGCCGCCCGTCGAGGCGCCAGAGGACCATGTCGTGGTCATCTCCAAGGGAAGGGACCGACCGCCGGGACGGCTCCGGCAGTTTTCCATCCTCATTAGGTGAGAGCAGGAAAGAGGCGGCAAAGCAGAGAGACGCCTCGTGGCGCCAACCATCTCCTCCTCCGCCAGGCGCCACATGTACAATGACTACCGAGACCTGGTCACCCTGCTGGTCCACGGCCTGGAGGCTCTGCTGATGTCCCTGCTGGTGGGCTTCCTGTACTATGGCGCCGGAGAGCAGCCTCTGTCCATTCAGGACACCGTGGCCCTGCTCTACATGATCGGAGCGCTCACGCCCTTCGCCGTGGTGCTGGACGTCATAGCAAAATGTGAGCGTCCTTTCGTATCAAACGCCCAATCGAGTTGATAGGTCAAGGTCATTCCTCATCCTCTAGCAAGTCATATCGGTTATCTAAGATGATGGACTTTACATGACACCCAATCACAAGATGGTAAAGTGCAGATAATCACTTGATTGAGCAGCCAGCAAGTCTCGAGACCAAGGTCCACCATCGACTCTGTAGAGGATTCATTTGGAACGCCGGCCAAGACTTCACACCGAGAATAATAACGGCTCAGCTATTAGATAGGTGCCGCTAACTGAAGTCTAACATGCCTCGACATCTGAGCAAATGTGATTTGCAGGTCACGCGGAGAGAGCCATGCTCTACCACGAGCTGGAAGATGGCATGTACTCGGTGACCTCCTACTTCTTTGCTAAGGTACAGCTCACAAAATCAGCACCGGGGTGCAGCCTTGACCCACAGTGGGTTAACCTGTTTGAAACATTGCATAATCCCAACCTCTAGGGCAGGGCTGTTAAACTCATTTTTGTCGTGGGCCACATTTTAGTGACCGTTTACCTTAAAGGGCCGTTATGACCGAAACCATCTAAAGGAGTCAAGAATGGCTGTTGATTCAATTCTTGTTGAAGTTCCTATCATGAGGGGTTTGGTAACAAGAAAATGCTTGGAATATCGCTCTTATTTATTAAATGTGAGAATTTAGACATTTTAGAAAGCATGATGGAAGTTGACATGTTAAATGTGATTTCGCGGGCCACATAAAATGATGTGGCGGGCCAGATTTGGCCCCCGCGCCTTGACTTTGAAAGCTATGCACTAGGGGATTTAGGGATTTATCCTGAATGACTCAGTAGTCCGCCGCGAATGAATGAGAATTGATTAAAAAGCGAACAAAACCCGCCGACTCCCCCCTGATATTTTGGGATGCAATGCTAACATGCGGCCATTTGGCAAGATAGCAACTTGGGTAGAGAGAGAAGCATTTTGCGCCCTGCAGAACTGAAAAGGAATCCAATTGTTTTGCTGTCGTTTGGCTTCGGCTGTCCAAACGCGTGCGCAGGTTCTGGGGGAGTTACCCGAGCACTGCGTGTTCACCCTGGTCTACGCTCTGCCAATCTACTGGCTGGCGGGCCTGAACGAGGCGCCGGACCGCTTCCTGCTCAACTTCCTGCTGGTGTGGCTGATGGTGTACTGCAGCCGCGCCATGGCGCTCTTCGTGGCCGCCGCGCTGCCCACTCTGCAGACCTCGGCCTTCATGGGCAACTCGCTCTTCACCGTCTTCTACCTGACCGGGGGCTTCGTCATCAGCCTGGAGAACATGTGGCTGGGTGAGCCGAGACGCAGAGTCGGGACCGTCCCGGTGGACGTTTGAAAATTGGTTTCCTACGTCTTGCAGTGGCGTCGTGGCTCTCTCACACCTCCTTCATGCGTTGGGGCTTCCAGGGGCTTCTGCTGGTGCAGTTCAGAGGAAACAAATACCCCGTCACCATCGGCAACTTCACCCTGAACGTGGACGGTATACACGTAAGTGCGACGGATCTACAAATGTACAAAGGAATAAATCATTCATTCAAATAAATCGTATCTTTTTGTGCGCACCTGTGCGTGTGTGTGGTCAGGTGGTGGAGGTGATGAACATGAACCAGTACCCTCTGTACTCGTGCTACCTGGTGCTGCTGGCCGTGTGCTTGGTCTTCATGGCGCTCTACTACATCTGCCTCAAATTCATCAAGCAGAAGTCCAGTCTCGACTGGTGAATGTGATTCATCGCAGCTCGCAAGGTTTTACATTTGGCAGATTTCGACGCCACGCAAGCCAGCTGTGGGAAATAATCACAAATTATGCTTTTCACAAAAACATGAAACTATGGTGGAAAAAGTGAAGCGATTACCTTTTTTTTGCCAGTCGAACCACATGTTGGCGTACCGCAGTCTGCCGCTCGATGGCAGCAGAGCACCGCAGTAACGTTGAAGTAAATCACGTTCGATTTTTGCATGTTTCATTTTGTATGGATGTAACGTTATTAGGCTTAACGGTGTATGAAGTCTGTGTGTGTGTGCATCAGTATCAAGTCACTGAAGGAAAAGGCCTTGAAGATAATTCATCCCAAAATAAAAATATTGTACTTGTAGACTGGATGTTTTATATGTGTACTGTATTTTTCGAGCACTTTAAAACAACCGCCGCTGATTACAAAGAATTCATGCAGTAAAACAATAAATTAGTAACAAAGACAGAAGAAAGTACAAAAACTAAAATTCACGCCGAGTTTTGACTTGGCGTGAATTTATTTCTCTTAACAATGGAATTCTTTTGTGATAGTTGGAAGTAGAATTACACTGGCCCACATTTTTTTTTTTAAATCAGAGATGCAAGTCAACTTTTCTGATGGTTTTGCACAGATTCCAAATCCTTGTACTTCCTCAAGCACATTTAAAAATCCTAATATGCATTACAGCGATACATTTTTTTACTGTTTGTGAAGGGTTAGGTTCAGCAACAGGTGGAATTTTTTTCTGCAACATCATAGCTATAAATTGGAAGGCATGAAAAAAAAATCCACATTATGCAAGCTTTAATAGGTCAATGCAAATATCTCTCAAAACCAATGTGCAAGAAAAAAGTAAATCGGCCTCAAACAGACGGTGAGGGACACATGAAGCCATCGCTGATGAAAATGGGCTGCTGACGAGTGGAATGACTGCATTTGCTGATCTGATTTGATTTTCAAAGCGTCAAGTTTTAGAGACTCAAACATCCAATTGTGGTAGACAGGGAAATACAATTGAGTTATTTGAAATGCTGAGTCATGAGGCACAGTAGCCCTCATATTTTACAAACCCTACGTGATTAGATTTAACCATCCAAATTATTTTGGATTGCTATATATATAGTTTTGTGTTTTATATATAGTTTTGTGTTTTGTGTTGCACAGCACTGATAACGCAACGCATGGATTCCGAACATTTATTAGCATAAATACTTCTGTACACGGTTACCACAGTCCTATTGATAGCAGAGGATAGTGGAACGCCACTCACATCATGTATGGATAAAAAAAAAAAAAATGGAAAAAAAAATCTGAATGGGGTCGGTCGGGGGGAAGTTGGGTCTTTATTCGTTGACGGGTTGAGTGTTGACTGTCCTCTCTTTCAGTTTGTCGGCGTAGAACTTGAACGACTCCTGCAGAAGAAGAAAGAGAGGTCGGCATGAAACCCAAAATGACACTCGGGTGCCGTTTTGGCCTTTGTGAAAGAGTGCGCCCTCCTGGGTGCGCTTAAATAGCTTGCACTCTCCAAACAGCTTGTCTCGTTTCATCTTTAAATCCCCATTAATACACAAAGAAGGGATTTGACGCACGCGCGCACACACGTAACGTCGACACACAGAGAAAGCCTCCTCTCGGTTAATTAATCGCTGTTTTGATCCACGCCAGGTGTTTTGTGTGTGTGTGTGTGCGTGCGTGCGCACACGCGTTTGTTTGGCTGGATAAAGGCTTTTATGGAAAGTACAGCAGTACCTTGACTGAAGAACTTAATTTGTTCTGTGAACAAAGGGCAAATCAACGTACCACACTGAAATCAACTGAAATAACATGAATCCACCACCCCATTTTTTCCAAGATTTTTTTTTTTCAGGGGGTGGGTGGGGGAAAAAAATTGCAGTTGCATCTCTGAGGCCCAGGTAGAGTAAAATTAAATAGCCAAGTAAAGTGAGGTTTGGGAAAATAGCATCCCCACACTACTTGACAGGCATGTGAATTGTCGGGAGTGAAGCGCCGCCGTCAGAAACGAAAATGCTTTTTATTCTC